GAGGGATAAAGCCCAGGTATCAGGAATAACACCAATATGGTTTGCCAGTTTGATCCAATTTTGTTATGTACAGAGCATCTCATACACTGCTGATCACATGCAGCTAAACGAGCTGTGATTGGTTCTAAGCTACTGTCCACACAATATAATTCATATTTCATTAGTACAACGTAAGAAGCACACGCAAAAAGCACGAGCCATGGAGCTCCTACTTGAGGTTTCGACCTCACACTTTATCTCCAGTTAAGGGATTTGCTCAACAACAGCTCTCTATGCAGTGGCAAGCCAGAGAGGAACGCTGAACAGTACTTCTTTACACAGGGGCAGACAGCAGAGAATTATTCATTGCGGTATCAAGGACCAGGTGGTTGTTATTTCTCCACACCCACATACCCCTAAATCACCCCCAGAACCTCCCCATATCCCCCCACAATCCCTCCAAATCCCCCCAAACCCTCCATATCTCCCCAAATCCTGACAAATCACCTCCAAAACTCGACATATACCCCCAAACGACCCCATATCCAACTAATCACACCACATCCCAGCAAATCACCCCCAAAACCTCCCATATTCCCCCAAATCATCCCCCATATCAATACAACACACCAACATACCCCAAATCACTCCAAAACATCCCCGTATCACCCATAGCCCCATATAACCACAAAACTCCTCATATCCCCCCAAATCACCCCAAAAATTCCCCATATACCCCCATAGCACACATATCACCCCAAAGACCTCATCACCCTCTACAAGTCCCTGACAGGAGGGGGCAGAGAGCGGGGATGAGTCTCTGGAGCCAAGGCCCCAGCGCCAGGCCCCGAGGGAACGGCCTCGAGCTGCCCAGGGCAGGGTCAGGCTGGCTCTGAGGAAGGATTTCTGTGCAGAAGGGGCTGTTGGGCGTTGGAATGGGCTGCCCAGGGCAGGGGGGAGTCCCCGGGATCGCTGGGGGGGTTGAAGAGTCGGGGTGACCTGGCGCTGAGGGATCTGGGGCAGTTGGGAAGGGTCAAGGGGAGGGTCATGGCTGGGCTGGAGGAGCTTCAAGGGCTTTTCCAGCCCGGATGATTCGGGGATTTTGTGAAAACACACCCATATCACCCGGTATCACCCATATTACCCCAAAACCCCCATATCCTGCCAAACCCCCAATATCCCCCCAAAGCAGTCCTTAACCTCCCCATACACCCCATATCCCACGTATCAACCCCAAAACCACCCACATACCCCCAAGTCACTGAAAATCCCCATACACCCTAAATCAGCCCAAACCTCCCCATATGCCCCCAAATCCACCCGTATCCCAACAAATCACCCCAATCCCCCCCATGACTCCAAATCACCCCACTGTATCTCCCCCAAACACCCCCTATTTCCCCTTCAGTCCCCCAACAAAACACCCATATCCCAAAATTCACCCGCCCATATACCACCAACCCCCCATATCCACCACAGTCACCCCAAAATACCACATATTCCCACAAATCACCCCAACACTTCCCCATAGATCCCCATATCACCCCAAAAACCAAAATACACCCCCAAATCACCCCAATCCCTCCGTATTCCCTCAAAACCCCCATATCACCCTCAAACCCACTATACACTCACTCCTTCTCTCTATCCCCCAAATCACCCCAAACACCCCTATATCCCATAAAGCACCCCCAATACCTCCCCATATCCCCCCAAACCCTCCCTAAACTGCATAAATCTCCCACATCTGCCCCAATATCATCAAAACTTCCCTGTATTACCGCAAAACCCATATATCCTTCCAAAAGACTGCTTATATCCCCCATATCTCCCCAAATCCCCCCATATCTCCCCAAATCTGCCCCCATAACTCCAAACCCCTCAGATCCCACCAAATCACCCCCAAACCACCCCATATCCCCCAAATCAAACCCCATATACTTCCAACCCCACATATCCGCCCAATTCCTCCCCAAAACAACCCACATCCCACAAATCACCCCACCACCCCTTATGCCCCGAAATCACCCCAAAATATCTCCCCCCAAAACCAGACATATCCATAGAAATCACCCCCAAAACCACCCATATTCCCCAAAATCACCCTCAATATCCCTCACCCTCTCTCTTCTGCTGATTAAGGATACCAATTAAACCCAGACACCAGAGTGCGAAGAGCAGACGTATTTTACTGGTGATAACAGTGTAATACAGAAAACAGGCAGTAAGAAAAAGCAGAATAGTGCACTTAAAGCAGCAAACAGCAAAAAACTGCATTAAATCATTACTACACGAGAGAGAGAATGGAGATTAAGACAAATACATCACCACTGGCACATGTTATCATCACCCAGCCCCGCAGTGGCTGGGCAGCCCTGGTCACAGCGAGGATTAGCGGAGCCTGTCCCGGCAAGTGGGAAATCCTGCGCGGTGCCTCCACCCGTAGGTGAGGCTGCCAAAGTCGCTGTGAGCGGGCCCAGCCTTATAGACCAGAGACCGACAGGCCAGACCAGCTGGCACCTTTGTTTTGGGCGGAATATTTCTGGTTCCATTCTCCTGATGGATTCCACCCAAAGCCTGGCCAGGGCTCGGGAGGGAAACCAAGGGAGTTTCTAACAAGGCCAGATACTTGGGTGCTCAGCCTTGAACAGGCTGAACAAGGGCAGGTGGATCCCTTCTCTCCTCACTCCTGATTATATTGGGTCTAAGCTGCATCTTTCACTAGCGAGTTTACAGACTTTGTTAATGATTGCACACTGAACAGCTTCGGCCTGGGGCCTGTTGTTCAGGGTTCAGTACTTCAACACTTGAGCACTTTTTACATCAGCATAAGGGGGTTGTTATAACTTAGTACAACACCTGGTAGCACAATGGCAGTACCTAGGATGCAAAACAGCTAATCCGGGTAACACAGTCATACAGACTCGGCCTCACTGTCAGCTGTGTGAAGACAAAACCAGGCAACCAGTGTAAAAAGCAGAACGCAGCTTGGAGGTGGGGAACTTCTGGGAACGGAGCCTTCTCAAAAGTGTTTAATGTGTTGGCTGACGTGGCAAATTACCACGTGCTGGTTTGGGGCAGAGACTCCAACTAAAATCGGGGGCTTTTTCCCACCTTGTGGTGCCCAGGGCCTGGAGGCTTAAAGAGCAGAGGGAGAGGGGACCAGGGTACGGCAGGGCAGGGCAGCAGATGTCCTCAAGCATCCCTGCCCCTCTGGGGATGTTTTCTGTGCCGCTCAAGCAGGTACTTGGCTCCTGGCAGTTCCCCAGAGTTTTAGAAACTGCTCCAATTCCACCTGAGTGTGGCGGATGGTTGATGTTGGGAAGTTTGTTGAGGCATGGTAGTTGGTGAACTGTGGGATTGTGGATGGTGGAGTGTGAGAATGTGGGTGGTATATTTGAATTGTGAGATGGTGGATGGTGGATGGTGTGAAGGTGGATGGTGGATGGCTGGAAGGAAGATGGTGGATGCTGGATGGTGGGAAGGTGGGTGCAGGATGGTGGATACTGGGATAGTGGAGGGTGAATGGTGGATGGTTGGGAGGAGGATGGCAGATGGGGGATTGTGGGAAGAAGAATGGTGGGAAGCTGGATGGTGGAATGTGGGATGGTGGATGGTGTGAAGGTGGATGGTGAATTCTGGGAAGGTGGATGGCAGGCCAGTCTACTTTTTGGTTTGGGTCCGGTACCCAGTGTATTAGAAGACAGCAGAAATAAGTTGTGAGTTGTGACTTTAAAGGATATTTTTTTTCCCCCGTAGACTATCCTCTGATGACTAGATGATGGTTTAGCATTGCAGGGGTGTGCTGGGTTGGTGTGTGTGGTGGGGACTTTTGGTAGCAGGGGAGGGGGCTACAGCGGTGGCCTCTGTGGGAAATTTTGTGAAGCTCCCCCAGCTCCAAATCAAACCTCACGCTTTGCTTAAACCCCATACTTACCTGCTTCAAGATCTTGGTCTTAATTTTGCTAAGTGCTCAATCCTAGTGGTAACCTATGACAGGGAAGTCTGTACGCAAATGATGGGCTGTTTATTTTAGTAGCATTACGTTTACTGTCTTTGTAAATTTAATGGTATCCCTTGGCCTTTTACTTTTGTGGGGAGTAAGAACAGTAGCTGACCTTCCTGACTTACCTTCTCATGGACCCTTCTGTTCATTCCTGATCTCCTTTACAGTTACTGTTTTTTTAAACAGCAGCTTTCTAGTGTCTGTTTTGGTTTTTTGTTTTGTTTTGTTTTGTTTTTTTTCTGGAGAGGTCAAAATTTAATTGCTACTAATGGCAAGTGTAATTTGAAAAGAAAGGCACTAATGCATTGCTCTTCCCTCGTACGTGTTCTTCCAAGAAGGCAGTTTAAGATGTTGTGGAACGCGTATCTATTGAGGACTC